AACAGTACATTTTTTTCCTGACAGCTGAACCCTGTAATGTATGCGTGGCTCTGCTCAACAAATTGCTCTATAATTTATCCCTGCATGTATGTGTATCAGGAAACAAGAGGGTGTAGAAAATTTGGCACCATGAGGTATGAAGTCCCCTCTTCTCCATAGACCCCCTTCTTTGTCTGAGCAACTAATGCACATTTGGACACAAATCCAACTACGAGCAAAATTAGAAAACCTCACTAAAATGGAAACAGCAGGATGGTGGATATAAATATCTGGAGGACAATATGCTTTACCTTAATAGGTAATATAGTATATTTTATTTACTGGAGCGGAGATGTTCAGCGTTCCACCAGAGCAGAAATTTAGGATTGAAGTCACGGGCAACCTTGACTTCTCTAAGGTAAGATTGTACTGGATGGTGTCCAAGATGAACTCCACTTGACCTTAAAAGCAGTACTTAATTTTCAGCTGGAAACCAGAGTTCCCACACAGGCTGCTCAGGGCACATTTTGCAGCTGGTCAGAACAACACCATCCGTACAAATATTTATTTTTCTGACAGATGAAATGGTCTCATCGCATTCACTGCAGTGACACAGATGACAGCAACCCTGCAGGGAGGCACACACTCTCTCTGGGTAACCACAGGGCTGTGTGCCCTTCGTTCCCCTTGCAGCCACGGGCCAGGGGGCTGAGAAATGACCTCAGTCTGCACAAGGCGGGATTCCCCTTGGGTGTATTTCTTCCTTGCGCGCAGAGCAGGACAGCGTGTACCACCCCAGGCACTGGTGAAGCAGCTGCAGTGCAAAGAGGCTGGATGAATCAGAAAGTCAGCCCGAGCACAGGGAGGCAGGCAGGGCAGCTGATGGGGGGGTGAGGGGCAGTGCAAGGGGCTTCCCTGCACATCCCAAGCCCCTGGAGCAAACTGCTCCTGCATGAAGGGCCCTGTGCACCGAAGCAGCAGCACAGGCAGCCCTCACAAGAGGGTTTCTTCTGAGCCTTGCCACTTGTAGAGGTACATGCACATGAGGGAAACACCACTGCTGCAGAGGCCTCCTTCCAGCACTGCTCTCCTTTGAGGACCACGTTCCCACACCACCACACCCCGTCCTCTCCATCCATCCGTGCTGGCCACTGCTGCCTCCAGCTCCATCTTACTGTGGCCACTGCCCCAGTGGGAAAGAACTTGAGCAAGTAATTCCTGCACCTAGCAAGCTGAAACAGGATCCCACTTACACCCCTCCAGCTTCCATTCCCCTTTTTTATC